CATATTCATTTTTGACTTTTGCTAATAGTAGGTATCAACAGCCCTTTCGGAGATTTTTTTCTATTTAAAATGTTTAGCTTAACATTTTATTGAGAAACTTAGGGCCCATTCTGCTCTCACTTTACTATGGCTCCACTGACTTCAAAACATGTCACTGCTGCTTTATACAAATATGAAATTAGTATGAGGCTCTTGTACGCCATGTTTTCTCATTACAGTGTATAATTTCCAATAGTGCAAAGTGAGCGTGAAAACAATTCCCCCCAGAGGGGCATTGTTTTACACCCAGTTTTACTCCAGGAGGAATTCCATGCCACCTTGGCACATACAGGTTTTGTGTCTCTGGCAGATTTTATGTTCCCTGTAGAAAATGCATTGTCCCAAAGAGGCACGGCAGTTACACCTTTCACCCACCAGAGACTATAGTGGTGCCAGAACAGAGGGTAGCTGGTGCAGGGCATCCAAATACAGAGAGGCTATGTCTAGACTGGCATGATTTTCTGCAAATGCTTTTAATGGAAAAGTTTTTCTGTTAAAAGCATTTGCGGAAAAGAGCATCTAGATTGGCACGGACGCTTTTCCGCAAAAGCACTTTTGCGGAAAAGTGTCCGTGCCAATCTAGATGCGGTTTTGCGCAAGAAAGCCCCAATCGCCATTTTCGCCATCGGGGCTTTTTTGCGCAAAACAGTTTTTAGCTGTCTACACTGGCCCTTTTGCGCAAAAGCATTTCCGGAAAAGGGCTTTTGCCCGAATGGGAGTGTGAAAGTATTTGCGCAAGAAGCACTGATTTTGTACATTACAAAGTCAGTGCTCTTGCACAAAATCAAGTGGCCAGTGTAGTCAGCTGGCAAGTCTTTCCGCAAAAGCAGCCACTTTTGCGGAAAAACTTGCCAGTCTAGACGCAGCCATCAGGAGCATCCAAATATGGAGAGGGAGGGAGAGAGCCTGCTTTCCTCACAGTGCCCTGCTCACAGGCCAGTTGAGCAGGCACAGGATATGGGGGAACAGGCACAGCAGGGCACACTGGGCTGCTGAGGGGACACAGAGACAGAGGATCAGACGTGCTACTGAGGGTACAGAGTGGGGTTGGAGCTGTATGGAAGTGGGCATAGCAAAGGCCACTGGTACCTGTGGGGGAGGGATGACAGGGAGGGACACCCAGAGGAACAGGGAGAGGCATGATGGGAAACCCCATTTAGCAATTAGAGTGTTGGCAGGGGGACAGCACACCTCCTGAGAGCTACCACAAGTCACTTATGGAAGTGGCAGTGGAGGGACACATGGGGATGGGGGGAGGGGTTCCTGAGTGGAATTCAGGGATGGGGAAGGAGGGATACAGGGACCCATGGTTACAGGGAAAAGGAGATGTACATGAGGATCGGAGAGGAAGGGTGGCTGGGTGGGGGTGCAAGGACACATAGGGATAAGGGAGGATGGGGGAGGGGTGCAGGTGTGAATAATTGAAAAGGGGTGTGATTGTATTGTATTATTTTGACAACATTTGCAGATTTTTAAATATTTTGGCACAGAATTCCCACAGCACATGGGCATATGGCTGCCAAGGCCCAGGGCAATGATGAATCAGGGCCCAGAATGTGTAGCCTTAGTTCATAAGAAAGAAAAATCTACCACATCCGTGATTTTCGAGCTGAATGCCAACTGCACTTTTCTCCACTACCAGCAGAAACAGGGAGGAGCTGAATTATGTATCCACGGTAGATTCACATAAATTGTTGCCCATGCTGCTATGTGACAGGTGTCATCTGTAGAACCCGTGAGACGAGCTAATTAGCCACACTCCCTTTGCTCGAAACACGAAGCCTTCCTATTGGGGGTGAGGAGACAGAGGAATTGCAAAATTCTCTTTGTCACCAATCCCCCTCCCTCACAGTCTTGCTCTGAGGACTCTAGAACCCTAGTTTCCTCCAGAAAACAGCATCAAGGGACAGCTCTGATTTCAAAAGGAACTCCGTGCTCCAGTTGGACTAGACAATGCACGAGTACTTCCAGCCTGCCCCCTCTTTGCTACGGTTCATTTTCATTTACAATACATTGTACTTCTTCAAACAAACACCTTACAGCCGCTACATTTTATTCCAAACCACAGGGAGGCCCGTTTTCATGTGAAGCCAGGCATGAATTGCATTCTGAGAATCCAAAGAGAGATCAAACCAAGGGGGACAGGTGACTTCACCAGGTCAGAGGAAAATCTGCAGCTTATGTACAGGGGATTCCCCAGCAGCCAGCAAGCACTTCAATCAAATGCATTTAACACAGCAGTGACAAAACTTTGCCCCACCCACCAACTGCAGGATCCTGTGGGTTACACCCCTCCGCATCAAATGAAGCCCATTGCAGAGGTTTGCTTTCATCCCACCTGCCTCCTGCTCCTATACATCTGGAGCAAATCATGCTCCAACCTGTAACCTCTGCAGGAGACACCTTGGGATTACAGGCACAGCACAGGCTGAACCTCCACTCACAGGCCATGCTCCCACCTAGTTGATTTCATTGAAAATATCAGGGGCTCCTATAAAGCCTCCAGCCCAAAGCCCCACTGGTTCTTAGTGGCTTGCAGACAGTGTAAAAATGACCAGCATGCTCATTAGCCCAGCATGTAAACGCATACAGTTACAAAGAAAGGGGAAGGGGAACTGAAATGGTGATTTGTTGGCGAGGCTGCCCTGATGGGAGGAGCCCTCAGAAAGTTCTGGAAGCTGCAGACCCAGTAGTGATTGTTACTGAGTGTAGCTAGTGGGAGATGAAATGATCACACACACCAAAGGGAGATGTATCTGGGGTGAGGTTGTGGGAGGATGGCAGGAAATATCCCCTGGCTTCCCCCCAACAAATAAATCACCAGGCAGAGAAAGCTTGTGGTAGAGTGGAAGATGGGAGAGGGGGGAGCATAATGAGTGGAAGAGAGTACAGGAGATAGGGTGAGGAAGATGGATGGGGTGGACAGAGGGCACTGACTGTGGTGCTGGGCAGATGGACAGAGGATTGTGGGAGGGTGTGGCAGAGGGATGACTGAGGTTGGGGTGGGGCATTGAGCAACTGCAGGGAGGGGAGGAGAGAAGAGGGGGACTGGACAGAGAGGTATTGGAGGGGGCACTAGGGCTGGGTTCTGGGCAGATGGACAGAGAGGACAAGGGCAGGCCAGCAGGGAGCTGGGTAGATGCAAAAAGCATTGAGGGCCACTAGGGAGACAGACACCAAGGATTGGTGCACGGTGCTCGGCAGATGGATAGAGGATGGAGAAAGGTTGTTGTGAAGGGGTTGGAACAGGGTGACAGTGTGGGGTGCTGGCATAGCTACAGTAGTGACAGCGGTGCAATGCCAGGCACACGATGTTATGGGGACCCAGCCGGATGGTGCGGTGCTCCAGCAGTTCTCTGGCTCATGGCCCACAATGCCACTCCTCGCTCAAATTCAGTCCATGCCACGTGAGTGCAGGGTGGGCGATGGGAGTGGGCGAAGCCTCTGAGAGGCTGGGATTGGAAGGAGCCCCCCACCTCCAACCTGGCATAGGAGCAGAGTGCTGAGTTGGAGCGGTGGCCAGGAAGGTCCTGTGGTGAGAGGGGGAGGGTGGACTGTGGGGGAGGGGAGGGAGTCAGGGGAAGCCATGGGGTTAGTTGTGCAGGCTGTGGAAGGACTTGGGGATATTGAAGGGACCTCCAAACCTATTCTTGCACCAGGGCCCCTGCGGCCATTTTATGCCACCAGGGCAGAGTGCTGGGAAAGGGATTGGGTCAGGACGGCAGGATGTTGGCTGGGCACAGACAGATGGGAGGAGGGGCACTGGACAGATGGACGGCGGAAGGGCAGGGCGCTGGGCAGACACAGAGAGGATGGAGGAGGGGTGTTGGGCAGTTAGAGGAGGCTGGGACGTGGCTCTGATAGAGAGAAGAGAGGAGGGGTGTTGGGCTGGTGGACAGGGCTGAGGCAGGGCACTGGGTGGACACAAATAGGAGGGAGGAGGGGTGTTGGGCAGGTGGGTGAGGTGGGGGCAGGAGGCTGAGAGGATACAGAGAGGACAGAGGAGGAGCAATGGGATGGTACTGGGACAGGGTGATGGGTGGACACAGAGAGGATGGAGGGGGGGTGTTGCACAGGTGAACAAGGCTGGGATAGGACTGACAAAAAGGACAGAGAAGGGACATTGGGCAGGTGGAGGGAGCTGGGGAAGGGCGCTGGGCAGACACAGAGAGGATGGAGGGGGGATGTTGGTCTGGTAGATGGGGCTGAGGCAGGGTGCTGGGCAGACACAGAGGATGGAGGGGGGTGTTGGGCTGGGGCAGAGTACTGGGTGGACAGAGGACGGGGGGGGTGTTAGGCTAGGGCAGGGTGCTGGGCGGACACAGAAAATGGGGGGGTGTTGGGCAGGCAGACGGGGCTAGGGCAGGGTTCTGGGCAGACACAGAGGATGGAGGGGGTGTTGGACTGGGGAAGGGTGCTGGGCGGGCACAGAGGACAGAGAAGGGGCGTTGGGCTGCGGCACGGTGCTGAGTGGACACAGAGGATGGAGGGGGGTGTTAGGCTGGGGAAGGGTGCTGGGTGGGCACAGAGGACAGAGAAGGGGCGTTGGGCTGGGGCAGGGCGCTGGGCGGGCACAGAGGATGGAGGGGGGGGTTGGGCTGGGACAGGGTGCTGGGCGGGCACAGAGGATGGAGGGGGGGGTTGGGCTGGGACAGGGTGCTGGGCGGGCACAGAGGATGGAGGGGGGTGTTGGGCTGGGGCAGGGTGCTGGGCGGACACAGAAAATGGGGGGGTGTTGGGCAGGCAAACGAGGCTGGGGCAGGGCACTGGGTGGACAGACAAGACAGAGGAGGGGTGTCAGACAGGGCTAGGGCAGGGTGCTGGGCGGACAAGAGGACAGAGAATGGGTGTTGGGCAGGTGGACAAGGGGGGATGTTGCGCGGCCCAGAGACACCAGTTGCCAGGCAGACACGCCCAGAAAATGGGGGTGCTAGGTAGGGGGTGCTGTATTTGCCTCTCACCTGTAGGAGCTGGTCACCCCTGCTGCCACTTCCTCCCTGATCTGCCAGTTGAGGGCATCCACCGCTGCTCGCCCTTTGCCTCCCTCCAAGGGCGCCGAGGGCCCGGGCTGTTGCTGCTGCCCCCCATCCTCCACCACTTGCACCCTCTTCTTGCTCTTTGACTCTCGCCCTTCCTCAGCCCTGGCTGCCTTGGGCGGCTCCTCCTTGGCCCGTTGCTCTGCCTCCGCCTCCTTCTTCTCCTGCCCCGGCAGCAGCTTCCTCTTCTTCTCCTCCCCGGGGGGTTTCTCCGGGGGGCCCTTCTCCGGGGCAGGCTTGGGGATCCAGGGGTGGTCCCCTCGCTTGGGGATGGGCCAGGCTCGGAAATCCTTCTGGTACTGGCTCTCCGACTCGAAGGGCGTGTCCGAGGGCTGGTACTCGCTCTTGGGCTTGCAGCTGGGCTCGGGCCGCTGCGACTTCCAGTGCCTGTAGTCCTGGCGCATCACCGAGTCGGCCGGCAGCGGCTGCTGCCCGAGCCCCGCCTTGTGGTCCCCCGCCGCGGTCGCCCTAGCAACCGCATCCAGGTCGCCGCCAAGGATGCAGGGCTGGGTCTCGAGGGCCGAGGAAGGGCGCGGCGGGGGCGGGCTCCCGTGCGCCGCGGGGCTCTCGGTGGCCTCGGAGTATTTGGTGAAGACCAGGGGGACGGCGATGTCCGCCTTGTCCAGCTGGTTCCAGAAGCGGGCGATGCAGCACGCCCGGGTGATGCAGGGCCACGCCATGATGCGGCCCCGCGCTGCCTCGCTCGCCGCTCCGGGACAGCCTGGCACCGACCGCCGCTCGCTCCCGCACCGCCCAGGCCAGCGGGGATGCGGGGCTAGCTCAGGATCCGGCGCGGGGAGGGGGGGGGTCCAGACGCCTGGCGGGGAAAGCTGTGCGGGGGGAGAGGGGGACACAATCACTGGCTGCTACTGGGCGACCGGGATCTCCAAGGCTCCTTGCTCATCCGGGAGGGCGAGGAGCGGAGCGGGGAGCCCAGCCCAAGCGCCGGGCAAAGGCAGGGCCAACGCGCCTGGGTCCAAGTCCTGGGCGACCTTAGGCCAGTGCCCGGCCGCGGTTAAGCCATGGCGCGTAGCGGAGCCGCTGCGAACCGCGGGGCGCTGGCTGCCGGCGCCCCCCGCGTCTCTCTCCCGGTCCGGCTTCGCGGCGGATCACGGACGCGGCTGGAGGAGCAGCCGCTCCAGAGCCTTCATCTGCGCGGAGTCGGGAGCCGCGCCGCTGCGGCTGCGGAGAAAACGCGCCCCACCCAGCCCCGCTGTCGCCAGCGCCGCGCAGGGAAGGATGCTGCGGGGGGCGGGGGGCGATGCGGACGGATCACCTGCCTCTGTAGCGCACAGCGCCTGCGGAGTGGGCTGGGAGCCCTGTTAACTCTTCCCTCCCTGGGCCCTGGCGGGAGGAGCGTGTGGCGCACAGCCGCAGAGACTCGCGGTGGGGAACCTTTGTTTTTTTGAGGGGGGGGCGCTGACCCACAGAAAAATCAGTGGGGGGAGAGGGTTCACACAAGTGAGAAACAAACAAACAACCCGCCTTTCTGGTGTGGCCCCAGAGGAGGAGAAAGCTCCCCACATCCATATTTCCCTCGCACACCACAGCCTAGGGGGTCCAGGCTAGTAGATTTTGTATGCACCAGCAGGGACTCTCCGGTGCTGGAGGGGGGAGCCCCAAGCCTCAGGGGTTGGATCCAGGGAAGCTGGGGACCACATTCAGCCCCCAAGGTCTTAGGTTCCCCACATCAGCATAGACCCTGGTCTACAGCCCACAGCATCAGACATATTAGAAAACGCTTAGAGCCAGCCTTGTTTTTCACACCCTGCAGGAGTTGTTTTGTGGCTAATATGGTCATGGCTGGCGCAGAAGAAAATGTCTCCCCCCCCCCCCCCCCCTCTCTCTCATCCAGCTGGTCCCTAATTCCAAACTGCTTTGCAAAAGGCTGGACAGCACCAGGGAGAGTGTACTGTCCCGCCCATTTTCAGGACTCAAAAACTTTGGACAGAGCCCCACCTCCATGCCGAAGAGCAATGCGGAGAATGAAGCAACAAACAAATTAATCCTCTTTAATCCACCATGCTATGCCCAGCTATAGAACTGGACTGGAGGGGGGGGGGGAAGGGGAGAGAAAAGGAGGATTGGTAGGTTTTAAAGCCTTGGGGTCTTTTAAGAAAACTCGGATTGCTAGAGCGACTTACTGGGCAGATTGTTCCAGTTTCCTATTTCTGAGTGTGGATTTCAGTTCTCATGGGTCCCTCCCTTCATAGAAAAAAGTCACAACAAACCTGCTCAGGTCACAGAGCCACCTTAAAGCAAACACTGTCTAGACTAGAGCTAAAAAAACCACCCAAAGCCCCACCACATACAACTCAGATCCTTTGTAGGGGACAGAGGGAGAGACTAATAAGGAGGGAAAAGATTCAGCCCTCCCCTCAACTCCAATTGGTGCTGACTCACTTCTCCTTCCCTTGTTGGCTCAAGTTCTGCTTCCCTAAGGATTCTGCTTCCCCTGCCTCTTCCTTCAACTCTCTCTTCTCCTCACTTCCCACCCCACTCTTCTCTTCCCTACTTTTCAGATACCTTTCTTTTTGGGCTACTTCTCCAAGATATGTTATGCCACAATTTTGAGCCTGTTGATATTTATGCTCTGATCTAAACACATGCATAAGCTTACACCAGGGCTCAACCTTGACCTTGGTCTCTAATACTGTTACTTGTATCCCTGCTCAGTTTTTAAAAAAATCATTACAGAATGGGGGAGAAAATGGCACTGGGTTCATCCAGATTTCTTGCAATTAATGAGCAAAATACGATAAGAAAATGATTCTCACCATAATAGGCAAGTGCCTGAAATTTGTGGTACTACAGCAAGAGCAGTCAGTTGCTATTTCATTGTATTATTAATAGTAATGCTAACAATGTTTTGTACTCCTATAGCACTTTCAGTCTACAATCTCAAAATAATTTGCAGACATTCGCATTATAGGCCCAGATTCTCTGAGGTTTAAACAGAGTTTAAAAAAGAGCTAGATAAATTCATGGAGGTTAAGTCAATAAAAGGCTATTAGCCAGGGGGTGAGGAATGGTGTCCCTGGTACATGATTGTCAAAGGCTGGAGATGGATGGCAGGAGACAAATCGCTTGATCATTGTCTTCAGTCCACTCCCTCTGGGGGCCCCTGACACTGGCCACTGTCAGCAGACAGGATACTGGGCTAGATGGACCTTTGGTCTGACCAGTATGGCCATTCTTATGTTCTTAAGATATTTATGTACCTAACTGCCATTTATTTCAGCAGAGGAAAGGCACATAAATACTTTTAAAGATTTGGGCCTTAATCCTCATCCTACGTAAATGTATGTAACTGATTTAAACAGAGGGGTATGTGTACACATACACATATACATCTGTTTGTATCAATCACAGATATACAGGAAGTCCCCAACTTATGAACATGTCGCGTTCCAAAAGTTTGTTTGTAAGTTGGTTGTTTGGAACTAAGAACATATTTTCCCATAGAAACAATGTTATACATGGTAGTTAAGTTTCCAGGCTAGTGTACAAAAGGGTTAGGGTTAGGGTTAGGGCCTATTTAACCTATTTAACCATGATGAAGCTGAAATTCTGCACATTTGCAATAAAAATGGAAGTTTAATTAGAGGAGGAGGAGGCAGCAGGTGGAGATACTGAAGGGGATTTCCCCTTGCTGCAGCCACCCCCCAGGCTCTTCACTGGCTCCTGTAGCTCCTCTCAAACCCAGGCTCCACCATCTCTCTTGTTTGTATATGTGGATGTGTGTAAGTCAGATGTTTGTAACCGGCAGAGTCCCTGTATGCAGAGTCCCTGTATATAAACAACAGCTGCCTCTTTATAGGGATTCCCCTGTTTCTGCTTTTACATAAAGCAGAGTTTAAAAGGAGGTGAGAGAGGGTTTCCTTATTGTTATGAATGAAATAGTAGGCTTTTCACTCTCTCATACTGAAATCAAAGTAATTGCAAACAAACCGCAGGTCTCCACTGCCTGGATGTGATTCTTGTATCTCCTTTGTTATGACTTTTTAAAATAATAGCTAAAGACAGATTGCACGGCCCCTTACAGCCAAATAAAAGCAGTAGCAGTACATTGCTCTCAAAGTCAATTATAGGCTCTGTAATGGGGTCGTACTACTTTGTAGTACATTGAAATCTTCCCCACAGTAAGGACACAGACCTCTGACTTTGAAAAATCGGGTGATCAGACATTGACCATAATAGATTTGGCCTTATCTTGTAGTGTGTCCTTGGTCTGAATTTGCTAAAGTATGCCTTCCTGAAATCTATTCTCTTTATTTTGTTTATTCTGCTATCTTCCCTTCCACCATTCCTTAGAATAATGAACTCTATCATTTCATGATCATTTTTACCCTTTCTATTTTCAATTTCTCAACCAGTTTCTTCCTATTTGTCACAATGAAATCTAGAACAGCCTCTCTCTTAGTTGCTTTCTCCATCTTCTGAAATAAAAAAATGTGTCCAATGCATTCCAAAACTTATTGGACAAACTGTTGTATTTTCCCAACAATATGTCTGGGTAGTTGAAGTCCCTTACCCCCACCAAGATCTGTGCTTTGGATGATTTTGTTTCTTGTTTTAAAAAAGCCTTGTCCATCACTTCTTCCTGGCTACATGGTTTATAGTAAATCCCTACCATGATATCACCCTTGGTTTTTATCACTTTTATATGTTCCCACAGATTTCAGCACGTCTGTCTCTTACTTCCATCTCAGCCTCAGCCCAGTGTCTACCACTGATATATAAGGCAACATCTTCTCCCTTTCCCTGTCCTTCCTGTGAAAGCTGTACCTTTCTACACCAATATTCCAGTCATGGGTATTAACCCACCAACTCTCTGTGATGCCAACTATGTCATACTTGTGATTATTCATTAGTATTTCTAGTCCCTCCTGTTTATCCCCCATCCTTCTTGCATTGGAATACATATAGCTAAGATACAGATTTGATTTTCCCTGCCCCCATGATCTCTCTTCTCTCTCCTTTATCCTTGCTATAATGGGCCATGCTCCCACCAGATTCCCACCCTTCTTCCAAGTCCCTATGTTTTTAACTTACCTGTGGGCTTTGGTTTTGTGCCCCAACTGAATCTAGTTTAAAGCCCTCCTCACTAGGTTAGCCAATTGGTATCCAAATATCTCTTCCCTTTCCTTTATCAGTGGACCCATCTCTGCTTAGCAGTCCTTCCCAGAACAGCAGCATCCTGTGGTCAAGGAAGCCAAGGAGTTAGGAACCTTGTGGTCTATCTCCATTCCTGCCACTGACCTTGAGCAAATAATCTTCTTTCCCCTCCCTTCCTTTGTCTATTTAGGTCTATTTAGTTTATAAGGTCTTCACATCAGGGTCTTTCACTAGAGCCAGGTCCACACTAAAGGAGAAGGTTGAATCAACATATGCAACTCCAGCTATGTTACTTATATACTGGTGTCGACATACCTTGATTTGAATTTCCCCACAGTCCCCAGAATGGAAGGCCAATGTGAGTAAACGCTCCCATCAGCTTCCCTTACTCCTCGCAGGAGCAGGAATACCAGCCGCCAACAGCAGCACCCTCTGAGTTTGACTTAAACTCCCAAATCCTAGACTAGGGAGAGCTGGATTTAATTCCTGGCTCTGACACAGACTTTCCTTCCAATCTTTGGCTTAGGCATTTTGTCTCTTTGTGCCCCAGTTCTCCATCTGGAAAACAGGGATAGAATAGCATTTTCTGCCTCAGATGGGTTCTGTGAAATACATTAAAGGATCATGCACTGCTCAGATACTATGGTAATAGAGGCTATATCCAAGATAGATAGGGTTAGGTTTTTATCGCACATGTAGAAGGCAGCATAGCGAGAAGGACTGTGAAGACCTGAAAAAAAACAAAAGCTTAAAAAACAAGTGGTCCCATAGCACCTTAGAGACTAACAAAAATATGTTTTGTTTTTTTAAAGTTACAGACTAATACAGCTACCCCCTGAGACTTTTAAACATGGGAAGACCTAAGTTTTATTCAGAGCTGTCACTGGTTCACTATGGGACCTGGGATACTTCACTATTTTTCTGTGGAATTTCTGGTGTAAAGCTGATGGACCTGAATTGTCCATCAGCAGGTGAGACTGAGAACCTGGGACCTTCGGAGCTAAAGCCACAAGGCTCTACCTTGAGCTAAAAGCCAGCTTCCTCTGAGCTAAGGCTGTACAGCACAGTGCTTTCTCCCTTTCTTAGTGGCACACTAGGATATACCCACCTTCATAATATCCCTGTGACATTGTGCCTCAGT